ATCGAGTTCCTGCTATACAAAAGGAATCTCCCGAAAGAGATGGTCAAAGAACACTTGTACTCGTTGGCAGTGGCTGCAGACAAATACGATATAGCGCCCCTCCGAAAGGTATGTGAGCATCACCTTAAGGAATCCTTGAGCACTTCCAACGCGCTCGATATTTTAGAAATATCCGACAGGTGTTCTTTCCAATCATTGAGAGATGCCACATTGGACTTCATTGCTACAAACTATAAGGACATCACTTGTTCCAAAAGATACAATGATTTCACGATCGATAATCCGCATTTGGCCAGTACGATTACAAGGGCTTGGGCTTTTCGAAGATAATTTCTTCGTCCCATGTGTAGGCATTTCCAAGTTAATTTCGTGTTAAGTATAGCCAATGAACTTTTTTTCCGGTATTCATTTTTATTTGATTCCATTATTAGTGATTATATACGAACCGCCTTTCTTTGTTTCTCTTCTTTTCTTGTTTTGGAATAATTAAGTTTTACATATCTTTTTTTTTTTGTTTAAAAAAAAAAACTCTTCAGCTGAGAACTAAATTTGCAGAATTAAATTTGCATGGTTCAACATTTTTTGGTCTTACCATTAATATGCATAGCGGCCTGTTTGTAAACACTTTGACTCAGCTAGTGAAAGCTCGAACTCGACTCATTTGTATGCTTGAATGATTCTCAAACTTGAGTTTGTTTATTAACGAGCTAGAACAACTAATCGAACTTGAGAGCTTGTTTATTAAACAAGTGAAACTTGTTTTTACGGAGTTTTAGTTTATTAAAAGTCGGTTGAGTTGAGGTATCATGAAATTATTACACGAGCAAAACTGGCTGATTTGTTGTTGCTCTTGGGCTCATATTCCATGGGCTTGAGAAAAGGTAGTCCATCGTTTATGAAGGAAAGTAAGCTATCGTTTATAAAGGAAAGTAAGCTTTATGGTATAAATTGGGCCGTCTAAATCAAATTAATATCAGGGTCCAGGAGTCCATTAAATCCCCAAGTAAAAATTTCAACATAAAAGCTTGTTAAATTATATCGATCACAAGGAATGAATCCACATAAAGATGTTATAGTATTCTTTTTTTTTTTCGGCTGAATATACAGCAGCCAACAGCTGAATAAAAAAGAGAGGACAAGTCCTATGATCTCGGATCAGATCCGACCGCCTAGATCCGACCCAACAGGGTAATAAAAAAAAAACAACGCAAAATACAACACCACACAGATACCCCAACAGGGTAATACACAGAGACCCCAACAGGGTAATACCTGAGTGTCGGACCCCAATAGGGTAATAAAGTGACACTCAAGCTAACAGAGGCTATTTGGCCCAAACCAAAAACACATCAACAACACAACATAACAAACACACACACACACACACACACACACACACACAGCTACCCAACTAACGAAACAAAAGCAACTAGAACTAAACAAGCCCTCCCAAAGTAGCAACACCAAACCGAACCAATAGAAATAAGGCGACAGAGAATCCCGCAGCCAGCTAATCGACCCCGAATAAATTGTAATTATTAAATTTTGTTATTTACTTAAAGGGATCCTCTTGCCCATTCATTCTTATGCACTGGCGACAACGTGCAAAAGTCCATTGGCTGATTGGTACGGCTGTTTATATATACTGAAGCCCCTATCTTGATATAGAATAACTTTAATCAAGGACATCAACAGTTAAAATTTTCAATGATAATGAAAATATGTCTCTTCACTAAAGCTGTAAACGAGTCGAGCCGAACTCGAGCCTTAACGAGCCAAACCAAACTCGTTTAATTTAACAGCACTACTCTCAACCAGGGGCGAATGTAGATATATTATTGCGGGGGCAATTACCCCCCTCAAATTTTAATTTTATTCACTATTGTATTAAAAAGTTTAATTTGTAACCTTGTCCCCTCTTTAAATTTAATTTTGCACCTCCAAATTTTTTTATTTTTGGCCAACTTATCTACAATTGTCAATTAACAATTCAACATTTTTTTATCTTACTATTAATTTTGTATATTAATTATTATCATTCTACAATTTTAATTGGCCCATATAAAAGACTTCAACTCTCTTTTATTGTCCATTCTAAACCAGAAACTGAACTGAATCGAACCGAACTAATGAGAAAATTAACTAACACTACAAGAAAATGATAAAATTCTAACGGAAATCTTTCCAAAAGAATTATTCCAACGACAGTTCCTACGGATATTTCTATACTATTATTTCCGTTGGAATTTTTCAATGGATTCCAACGAAAATTTCAACAAAAATATTCCGTTGAAATGTGTTTTCCGTTAGATTTTGACGATTTCAACGGTGGATTTTCCAACGGGGGTGGAAATAAAAATTCCAACAGAATTTGCATATTCCAACGAGAAGTCATACGGTAAAAAACCATTAGAAATATAGCCGTTAGAATAATCAAATTCCATCTAAAATTCCAAACAAAAACACATTCCAACGGAATATTTCCGTTGGAATTTCCGTTAGAACCATTCCAACGGAAAATTCCAACGGAAGCTATACCATTGGAATATCCGTTGAAATTTCCATTGGAATATATTACCATAGGATTTTCCGTTGTAATATAACAATTATTTTGTAGTGTAAACCTAACCGACTTATGTGTAACTGTAACAAAAAACCATAGGTATCAGTTCTGAACCCTGAACCCATTATGTCATTTCTTTTGTCCCCTCTCAACTAATTTTCTGGTTTCGCCCCTGCTCTGAAAGATAAAAGATTTTAATTATTGTCCTGGTTTAAAAAAAAAAAAAAGAAAAAACATAATAAGTTGACACTACCACTTGAAAAAAAAAATGGTAATATTTATCCATACATTTATTACATTATATGTTTTCTTCTAAAGTTTTAAAGTAGTAAACAACAATATGGAATATGTTGTTGCTTCATAGATGTTTGGCGGATAAGTGAACATGAATCACTACAAAGGGATTACATTAGCTAGTTTAATTAGTGAGTTTTATTATCTTATTTTGTAAAAAAAAAAATGGTTAATAATATATGGCGGACACGGACAATGGTTTTTTGAGTTAAAATAATAATAAGGAATTAAAATTAAATTTATTTATAATATAGATTTATATGATGAATTTATTGTGAATATACTTAAATTATTAACTTAACAATAATGATTAGTTTACTGTTTAGTAAAGATTTGGTGGACAAAGGATAACCGAGTTATCCGACTCGGGTCGATCTCGATGGAAGGCTATTCGGAGTTTTACTTACTATTCAATTGTTCAAATCACAAAAAGATCAAATAAAGTCCTAAACATTCTAAGCAATTGATTGGAGGGTTGATTATCACTAAACGAGCACTAGAAATCGAGCAATTAACTAAAGGCAATATCAAATCACGAGCAAGTAGCAAATTAGATCATCGGAGTCTCATGCCATAACCATAACGAGATGATAATCAATTGATATAAGGAATAAACGAGCTATGAGCATTAGATTGCTAACCCTAGTCGTCTAACCCTAAGTGATTAAGCCCTAATTAGGTCATAATCCTTAAACAAGATCAATAAGCAATTAACTCCTCTCGATTCGCAGTGACTACCGCGTACTCGCGAGTGATGCAGGCGGCACAGGGCGCGCGGACGCGCAGGACTCTCGATCTTGCCAAAGCTTCCGCGAGCTCGCGGCGTGCGACATATGATACTCGCGAGGTCGCGAGTTGCTCCGTGTGGTCGCGAGTGCGGGCAATGCGACACTCGCGAGTTCCCTTCTACTTCCGCGAGCATGGATGACCGGGCCACTGGCATGGTGCGTCCTCGGGATCGCGGGCACATGTGCAACGTCGCGAGCGCGGGCCAGCAAAGTGGGTCTCGTCAAGAGTTTGAAATACTTGGGTAGGACATGGCTCGAATCTTCTCGAAATTGACTCAGATTTTTGCTCGACTCTCCTCATGCATCACCGAAATAATCTTGAAATTTTCACCACAAAACACGGAAAACTACGCCAAAATGTAAAATGAATCAGAAAACACAAAAACACATGGAGAACGATAAAATGGACCGGTTGACCTTAAAACGAACCTAAAACCGACTCGACAACACACATAAGCACATAAAAATAAGCACAAAAACGTAACAAACAACTCCCCCACACTTAGCTTTTTGCTTGTCCTCAAGCAAACAAATAACAAATAGCTTGAAGAGAAATCTCGAATGGTCCACGGTTAGCAATTATGCGATTATGAAACTCTCATTATCCTCCGGTAATCATAGAGCCAAACTCAAATTTGAAAACATGTTCCCCACAAAATGGATTCATACAAAATAAACCCGTCTGGAGTCATCCTACACATGATTTACTCGACTAATGCCTCATTCCAATACATAAACGTGCAAAAAGCTAAATGAGGTCTAAAAGACATAAATGAATACAAACGAGACCATAAGCCAACTTCCTTTCTTATTATATAATCTTTTTTTTTTTTAAATGAGTTACTTTTTCTGCATGAGAGCCATTGAGACGATTATTACTTAGGTTTATCCTCGGGGTTTGTCCCCGAGTCTCCTAAGCCGGTTTCTCGTACTCATGGTTCGATTTGCCTAGAAGACCAACCGAACCAAGTGGAGTCTAATCCTTCCAACTCTCACGAGCTCATTTTGTGAGTTGCTTTTTTCCAAACGAGGTTTCCGGACAATGACTATCTAGATTTAACCTCGAGGGGTTTCCTCGAGTTCCCTAGACCGGTTTCCTGGGCTCATTATCCCATCTCACGAGGTGGCTCGGGGTAAGAGGAGCCTAATCCGTACTTACTCGCGAGCTCACATTATTCTCCTTTTTTTTAGGGAGTGGCACGAAATGATATATCAACAATGTAGCAACATAAGCACATTTCGATCTAGATGCACCACCAACAAATAGCACAACACGTTTTTCAACAATAAACAAGCAAGGAGTAAGCACATCTCAAGTTCACCAATCGAGAATAACAAAGGACACAATAATTTCGTGAATTCACATGCGGGTCCCACGTTAACAAATAATCGTTCAATTCTATGATACCGTCCAATTCATCAAGTTCATAATGCACGAACGCTAACAATGAAGCCAATCGGTATTCTCAACTCACCACTTAGCTATCTCGACTCTCGAACAAACATTGAGCATTATGCTGGAGAGTTGACACAAACACACAAAAACGCACACAAAATCGGTCCACGACACGAAAAACATGAAAAATAAAGCACCAAAAACAAAACAAATATCACCTAAACATGCATAATCATGAAAATCCCTCCCCCACACTTAAAACAAAGTAATGTCCTCATTGCTTGACCAA